TACGGCAATATATTCAAGTCTACTTATGCCACATCAACCTAATTTATAATTTGAAAACTAGATCTGCATTACTACTACCTTCACCACTTAGACAATGTAAAACCAACTCCCAGCATAAGCTTTTTTCCTGGGTTTAGGATCTTTCTTTTTTTAAGGCACTCTCATGAACAAGCACACAGGTCCATTTTTTTATACAGGAATAAAATAACAATGTGGCAAACATGTTATGTTTGTAAGTAATAAGAAATATGTAATACCTGCTAATTAGGTGACACATTTTATGACCCAATGTAGTAAAACCCACTGTGAGTTTTTTTTTTCCCCCCCCAAAACCCCCCAAAAAACAAAGAAGGTAAACGGCCACAAGTCTTGTCATTCATTGACCTAAAGCAGCAGATACATTGAAGAACATTCTGCTATTAATACATAGCAAATCAAACTTTTCCTAGTATTTGAGTTTAAGACGGCATGTTTTATCACTTGGATTCTGGAATACAAGTAGACTATTAAGTAAAAAAAAAAAAAGAGCAAGTGTATAGAAATTAAGAGAAAACTGCACAAGTTAGAATATACATGACTTCATGCAATGATACTATACTTCATCCCTAGAAACATACAAGATTTCACAAGTCATCCTTTGTGGAAATAAACTCTTCCAAACTACTGAAAAAATAATGAAATATTTGATACACCGCTAAGGTTTTCATAGGTGATCAAGACAACGTTGACTCAGTTTCTTCACCGCCTACCGTTTGACAAACCTTGCTCTCATTCACTGTTCAGAAGAGTTCTCATCCCAACAACAGGAGATTGCTTGGCACCAGTAAGGCAAATCACTTGGTACAGTTTTTACTAAGGTTAAATAAACCCATGATGTCAACCATTGCTTTTTGGATGTTTTTTCCAAAACGATGAGAATCCTTAAAAACAAACAAAAAACAAAACCAAATACTTGTACTGTCAATAAACAGTTATCTTTTAGGCAAAAGAAGGAACCTTTTAACATTTTGTAATTTGGGAGTTTATGGAATTAGGTCATGTATTTTCCCACAAAATGGGGATTTTAAACCACAATTTTTTTTAATTTTATACAAATTATTCCAGTTTGTGCTATTACTAATGAGTTCTTCATTATGCATTTACTTTCCTACAGACAGAACTGACATCTCCTTTTGAAATCAGATATATCAAGGCCACACACGTGAAACGCTGCCTTTTCTGTATGGACCTTTGACTTGACTACTAAGTAAAAAAATACAGGGAAATTTAAAGTACAAGCTAACAGGCACCTGAAGAACAATTTGAACTATGAAAAAAACAAAGTTCGATTTCCTAATCTTTAATGATTAACCAAAGGCACCCAGATCTCTCAGACAAGTTAAGGTCAAAAGAGAAAAACTAGTTCAGCTATGTAATCCTGAACAAACTCAGCATGTTTATTAAAGTCATAAAAATCTAAAGCTGAACCGAAGCTCACTCAAAGCAGGCCTCTGCAACAACATGACATCTACTACATAGTAATGGGGGTTATTCTAATAAATTTTTGATTAATTATGTTTCTCAAGCATGGATTATAACTTACGGGCCAGCTTTCAGTATTATTTAAACCAAGATGATTTAAAGAATAGGGAGCATACATTTTACTGTCTTTTATGACTGCAGCCAGAGACAAATCAAAGCAGAACTGTAACAACAAAAATGAGGAGACACCCATCTTACTGTTTCTGGGACAGATAAGAATAATTACATGAGATCCAAGGGAACTGCACATGTGTAAAAATGACCTTGGGCCACATGCTTTCTTTATGCTTGAAAGTATAAGTGAAATAGAATATGGTTTCCTTGATTCATAATATTTATAGAAGTGAAAAAAACCCCACAAAACAGCATTTGTTGAGAAAGAAAAAACACATTATAACTGTATGTTGCAAGTCCTACTAAATTTTTTAGACAATGATTAGAACAATTTTATAAGCAGATAGCTGAACAGACTTATTAAACCATAGGAAAGGACTGAGCCTTACCGTGTCAGGACAAGATATTTTGCTGGACACATGGAAATGGATGGAATTTTCATCCAAGATAATGTAAGAAACACCGTAACCATCATCAGCCACCTAGGGGAAGAAAGAAGAGAAAAACAGGTTCTAAACTCTCTTTCCTTCCATTCCTAAATTATCCTATAGATAGTTACACAATTCTTACGGTGCAGTTTTTAAAATGAGTTGCAATTTCTCCTCAAGCAAAAATTAAGCTTCCACATTTAATGCATCATTTCTGAAGACTGATTCTGCTTAAGGAAACAGTTCTGGTCTGATCTGAAGTGTATAGAATTAAAATTTTCTGAATATATGTCTGTAAAAGACCCCAGCTTTAGTATTTTGAAATAGAATACTTGTTTAAAAAACCTTATCCAATCAAGGTCTGGTCCTAAGCAGCTATACAGCTTTAGTGCTTAAGCAGAAAGGAATGAAATAGCTCAGTTGTATACCTAAACATTCTATTTCATGGGATCATTCTGCAGATGTAAACAAATACAGTATATAAATAGGGAGTATACAAGCCTTGTATTATGAAAATATGCCCAAAGGCAAATTCATCCAACTCTACAGCAGAGATACGATTCTGAACACCAGTATCACGAGCAGAGCTCTGGTCCGATTTCAACATTAGCAGCATTAACTCTCCCAAGTTTCAGTCTGATGTTGTATTTAAAGTATGCATAGTAAACACAGACTATCCTGCTGCCACCCTCCTTCCTCTCTTTCCTAACTCAAAGGATCACAACCTTCAAGCTCTTTGCTGACACTGCTGCTAAGCAGTCTGATTATCTTCTCTCCACTAGTGCCACAGGGCTACATTCTACAGAACACTTACAAAACACCCCAAAGCCAACAAACAGCACACATACATGGAAAGCCTGAGGTACTGAATCTCGGGGCTACTTCAGCAAACCAAAGCACAGTTTTTGTAAGGATACAAGAAATGATGAAGGGAAATGTAAGCAGGGTTCTTTGGAAAGGCAGACAACTGAAGGAAGGAAATCAAAGGAATGAATAAACAGTAAGAAGGGAGCAGTTAATGTAGCATTAGCAACAACAAAAGGAAAAAAAAAATGTTAGAAATTCCTATAGCCAAAATCCTATTTTATTGCCAGACCACACCTTTTTGGTGATTCTAAATACTGACTTTATAATCTGCTGGAGCAAGCCAGTTTCTCATGAAGGAGCAACATTGCAATAGCTAGGCTTCCTTGATACTGCAGTTTAAACTCATTCCACCTTCAAGAACTACTGAAAGCTGTATCAGAAACATGAACTTTTATTATTATTAATAATAATAATACATAAAAAAGTTCCAGCTTGACAAACCAGCCAAAATACACTGTACCTCTCATTCTAATTTCTGTATAGCAAAGAGCAGTCCTGTGATCCCTCTCATTGTTCTTTCAACAGAAATGCTTTTTGAAAACAGATTCATCTAGTCTATAGACCCATAAAGTCTGCCTAACAGCTCTTGTTAACAACAATCTGATCATCAGTGGCCATGTACAAAACCCAGAAAAATACCACAGGCAAGTCCAAAGCTTGTAAAATCTCTAACAGTTTTTAGAGTTTCCTGAAAGTCTACAGAAGCTGTGGAATGTTTTATTCTTGACTTAACCATTATTCACACTTACGAGGGCAAGCAGAACAATGCGAGTAGCTTAATTTGGAGGAAAGCATGAACACATTTTTTAATTAATCAGGAAACATAAAGAACAAGTCAAGTATAAATACTTTTAGAAATCCCAGCCTTAAAATCTACTTTAAGTAATAAGACATTTGTCAGTGTAATAATAGCCTGATGTACAGAAGCTCTGGGCACAGATAATGTGATAAAAGCCCCCAGTTTATTAGATCTCTCTGCCATGGAGCCTTGTCCCACATTTGATAACTGTGTATTTCCTTAAGAATAATCCATTCTTGTAGCGGCATCTGAGAAAAAGGTGATGCAGACTTTTCTGAGCACATCCACATCATGGGAAAGCATTAGACATACGCATTTAAAAGCATGTGTTGCATCTTTGATATGGAACATGAAGGTATTACAGATCTGAAATCTTTAAACTGGCATATTCAAAATAAAACTTCTTTAAAGGGGTACTTGTATTTAGCAAACATACCGGTCCAAATCCTCCACCACAGGATAACATCTCAGGGTTTTTCTTTAAATCAATGTGTTGCTGTGGCGTCTGACTCGTTGACAGCCTCCAAGGCTCTGACAAAACCTTTATTAGATATGAAAGAGATGCACGCAAATGTAACACACTGTTTAAGAACATGCAACTTCCTCAAAAACTAATCAAGATAAGTTAGAAAGCACTCATTAAAGCAATATTTAGGATAACTCCAGTTCCCATTTCAATGGAATGAACAATTAAGGTTAAAAGAAACAGCTAAACTTATCCTGATATGCAAACCATTAACATATAAGGTCGCGATGTCAATTCCTCAAAGAGAATATAAATTCTTTCAGCAGAAATGCTATTTCAAAACAGATTAATCTGGCCTGGTAAATTCTGCATAACAGGTCTTGTTAACGGCAAGATCATCAATGGCCATATTCAAATCCCTGTAAGATACTACAGCAAATCAGAAGCTTGTAAAATCTCTAACAATACACTCGCAGCTTAAAAGTCTACAGAAGCTGTAGAAAGTTGTTTTGTTCTTGACTTGGCCACTACTCACATTTAGGAGGGCAAGCAGAAAAATGCGAGTAGTTTAATTTGGAGGCAAGTTGGAACACATTTTTTATTAATCAGAAAACATGAACAAGTGCAACATAATTACTTTTATATAACCCAGCCTTAAAATGTAGTTTAAGTAATAAAGCTTTATCATGGTAATAAACAGCGACATTAATGTTGTAGATTAAAAATAAATAAAACACAATATACAGCTCCCTTAACTCACAGTAACTTAAAAGAAAATGAATTTTGTCACAGTTCCAAAAGAACATTCTTGAGAGAAAACACACAGCCTTTGTTATGCTACCTTGAAAATATGTAAAAACCACAAGCAACCAATATTTTTTTCTAATACTGACTATATCTTTCTTGCAAGCCTTAATTACATGTATTATTCTACAAAGCTCACAGAAAGCATTATTTATGTCTATTAATAAGCGTATACACAAAGCAAAATGAAACTAACTTGTAATCTACCAGCAATGCTAGCTACACTCTTACCCTTTTTCATAGGAAAACCAGAGTTCTACCAGTATGTAAGCAGATACCACACAACACTAAGTAAACACTAATTAATAGTTATCACTCTAATTAATAGTTATCAATAAAAGTCACTTACTTCTTTAAGGAAAGGAGAATCTACAGCAAGGTACTTTGACACGACATAAAGGCAGAACAGATGGCGGTCAATGCCAGCACCAGTCATGGCAAGACGATACAAGTGCTGATGTTTGGCAGCAGCAAGCCGAAAGAACTTAAGCTTATTTTCATTCTAACAATGGAAAAAAAGATGAAGGGAAAAAAAAAAATTAAAAAAAATCAGTTAAGTGAACTGTGCTGAGGATGGAGGTGCAGAAACTAAGCTGCAGCAATGGCTCTCAAGCCTAGAGCACTTAAGGGTCAAGTACAAGACAACACACACAACTAACACAGAACACTAGTATCCTCTGCCTTTTCAACCTCATGCATTCAGTTTCAAGTATTAGAAAGTATTACCTGCTGTAAACAGTGCATAAGGAAAACAAATTTGCATTTTAAGTTTGATTCTGGGGTTAGATCACACATGATTACACCTAAAGTTTACTACATTAATGCGTATTTAGTTCCCAGAGACACTGGTCTTAAAAAGTTATGGAAGAGCAAATCTCAACGTGACTTAAGAAAAGCTGGAACTGCAACAGGCATTTTAGAAGGCAAACTGACAACACTGGAGGTATTGGGGGTCCATGAATGTTCATCATTTTTTAAAAAGCCTTGTCTTAAGAGCTCAGAACCAGGCAATTCCAAAGTGTCAGAAGTCAAACAAGTGGGGCAGGCGGCCTGCTGTCTGAGCAGGGATCTTCTTCTAGAACTTAGGTGGAAAAGGAAAGTGCATGGACATTGGAAGCAAGGACAGGCAACACAGGAGGACTACAGAGATGCTGTTTGTCACTGTAGGGAGAAAATTTGTGTGGCCAAAGCTTGATTAGCGTTCAAGCCGGCCAGCACCATGAAGGGTAACAAAAAGAGCTTTATAAAATATGTTAACAGCAAAAGGAGGAGGATCAGAGATGATAACGTCCATTACTTTATGAGGTCGGTCACCTCACAAGTAGGGATGTGGACAAAGCAGAGATGTTTAATGCTGCCTTCCCCTCTGACTTCAACACCAATGAATGGCCCTGGGACCTCTGGAGCCCTGTGTTGGAAGACCGTGACTGGGGGATGATAAACTCCCAGCTGACATTGAACTTGTTTGAGACTTGCTGCTCCAGCTGGAGGCACATAAGTCTACAGGGCCCAGTGGGATTCATCCCAGGGTACTAAAAGAGCTGGCTGATGCCATTGCGGGACCTCTCTACGTTGTTTTTCAATGGTCTTGGGAATCTGCAGAGGTCCCAGTCAACTGGAAGCTGGCAAATGTTGTCCCAATTGTCAAGAAGCATAAGAAGGAAGACCCTGGTAATTACGGGCCTGCCAGTCTCAATTCAGTGCCAGGTAAAATCATGGAGAACGCTATTCTGGGAATTCTTGAAAAAGAGCTGAGAGACAATGCAGTCATTGGTCACAAGGAACACAGGTTCACGAGAGGAACGTCCTGTTTGACTAACTTCATTTCCTTTTATGACAAGGTCACCCATCTAGTCGACCAAGGGAAGGCAGTGGATGTAGGGTTTTATGGATTTTAGCAAAGCTTTTGGAAACTGTCTCTCACAGCATCCTTCTGGGCAAAATGTCCAGCACACAGCTAGGCAAGTCCATAATATGTCTGGTGAACAACTGGCTGACAGGTCAGGCTCAAAAAATTATAAGAAAGGAGGTTCCATCAGGCTGGCAGTCAGTCAGCAGTTGGGGCTCCCCAGGGCTCAATTTTAGGGCCAGCGCTCTTTAATGTTTTTATAAAGGATCTGGATGCAGGCGTCGAATGTACATGAAGTAGGTTTGCTGGTGATACTAAATTAGGAGGAGCTGCGGACTCCCTCAAGGGTAGAGAGGCCTTACAGAGAGGTCTGGATAGACTAGAGAGCTGGACAGTCACCAACCATATGAAACTTAACAAGAGCAAGTGCCGGATTCCGCAACTGGGATGGGGTAATCCCGGTTATAAGCACAAACTGGGGGACGAGAGGCTGGAGAGCAGCCCTGCAGAGGGCAAGACTTACACGGAACGGCTGAGGCCACTTGGGTTGTTCAGCTTATCGAAGAGAAGGCTGAGGGGCGACCTCATTGCGGTCTACAGCTTCCTCAGGAGGGGCAGTGGAGGGGGAAGTGCTGATCTCCTCTCTCTTGGTGACCAACAACAGGACATGAGGCAATGGAATGAAGCCAAGTCAGAGGAAGCTCAGATTGGACATTGGGAAAAGGTGGTTGATCCCTGGCAGAGGCTCCCCAGAGAAGTGGTCAGGGCACTGAGCCTGTTGGAGTTCAAGGAGCATCTGGATGTCGCTCTTAGTCATACGGGTAAGTTTTAGTTAGCCCTGCGAGGAGCAGGGAGTTAGACTCAATGATCCTTACGGGTCCCTTCAAACTTTTACTTATTTGGGTCACAGTGAGGAGCCTATTTGCCTTCAGCATGAGAAAATAATAAATCACTTTTTGTCATTCCAAGCATGCCTACCATTGGCATTCAGGACTAAAGCTTTGTGGATAGTCCATGAAGGATACAGGTGCTCAGGAAAAATTCTAAGAAAAAACCCAGAGAAAAGTAGAAGCAAGCAGTAAAGGCAGACAACTCTTAAAAATAGTATATACATGTAGTATGTAATATAATCTTCATAATACTTAAAAACTAAAAATTGCATTATGAAGGCAGGGTTCCTCTGCTCTATGGCTGATCATTCCAGATGAAGGGCAGTAAATAAGTCAGGAAGTCTGAAAAGAATCATGTTTGTAGTAGCCATTATGATCTTGCCATATGTGGGGCTACATTATTCCTTTAACAAAAATGCAGATGTTAACTGCAGAGATGTAATAGCAGTTAATTCTGACATTAGGACTATGTTAAAATGACTTTCTATACACAGAGTAGTTCCTAATGTCAGAATTAACTGCTATGTTAAAATGACTTTCTATACACAGAGTAGTTGTACAGTAGCTATGCCATACAGTTGCATATGACATGTTGACGTGGCTGGATTTCCAGACTTGCACTGGTCTAATCACAGCTTCTAGCATAGCGTATTGAGAAATCATGGGTGATTTTACCTACACAGACCTTCTAGAAAGAGGAGGGAGAAAAAAGCATCTATTTTCTTGCAGTAACAATTATTCATAGAATCATGGGGCTAGAAAGAACCTCGACTGTTCATCTGCTTAGACTTCTCTGCCCTAAGACCCAATCAACTAAAGCTCTTTTCTGAAGGACCATTATGTAACTTACTTTTAAAGATTTTCAAAGCGAAAAAACAACCTCCCCAAGTAATCTGTTTCAGGCTTCTGACTATTTCCCTCCTTACTCATAATCCTTACTAGCAGAAAATGCTTCCCTAATGTGTTACTTCCTGAAATTTAAGTCCATTACTTCTTGGGACAGAGAACAGATTGCTCCCATCATCTCTGCATCAGCCTTTTTATCCTCTCGAGCACAGCCTGGCTCCCTACCTCTCCCACAGTGTTCTCTCTTTAGACTAGGCAAGAATAATTAAGTTCAGACTCTCCTCACAGATCCTCTTCAGAGGCTTCTAACCATCCTTCTTGCTCTCCTTTAGACTCTCTCCAATCCATCCATACCTCAAGTGGTGTCCAAAACTGAACACACCACCCCAGCTAATGCTGTACTAGAAAAAAAGTGCAGAGACAAGAGACTACTAAAAATAAAGGGCAAGACTAAAGTGAGCACTGCTATGTAAGTGTTCAATTACTGATTATTATAGTCCTAGACCTTTTTCATTAGAACTTCTACCCATGCAGCTGTTACTCAGGCCTGGATACAATACCTTGAGTACATTCCTATTTAACAAAACCCTCTTTTTCGGGTCAAATTTTTATTGACTTTGAAGAAATTGAAATCCTCTTCAGCCTAGCAAAACCTGCAAATGTAATGATTTATTTCATCAACTGCATCTGTGAAAATGATGACTAGCAGTGGATTAAAGAACAGGCAGCCCTCAAGACAACTGTCCTCCACCCTTCCATTTTGGCAGCAAATATTTTAACCAGTTTTGTCCAGGTTTTCCAAATCAAGAAGTTTTCCCCTAGACCATGCTTCATTTGTTTGCTAATCAGAACACCACAAGAAAGATTAAAAAGCCCACTGAAATCAACATATAAGAGCAACTACTTATTTCCTGTGAATAATACTTGCTTCCCCATCAGAAAGGAAAGCCCAATCAGTATATTACTTGTTTTACAAATCCATGTTTGAGTTTTACAAGTCACACAAATTTTCACAAGTCATCTCAGTTTTCAAGAGTTCAGAAACTGTAAGAAATGGCATATTCAGCCAAGTAACTGCCATTCTCTTTGGAATAGCCTTGAGTTTCTGCCATATTAACAGAAAATTTAGACAATTACCTTACGCTGCTCTTCCTTCCTAAAAAACAAAGGCGTCACTCTAAGTGTTTAAAAACTATTTGGGAACTTATACGGATATCTAGTGATAATTTATGTGCCTTATGGATTGTATAAGGCAACAGCACTGTGAACTTACACTTTCAGTTGGGTCTTCCATGGTTTGAACAAAATTACATGATTCAACAGTACACGAACGAACAGTTTCGGTCCTCCCTTCTCGGAACAAGCGTGTCATAGAGGCTTCATATGTTAAAGAAAATTTTCCCATGTCCTTGAAAAGGGAGAAATAAGAACTTACAGGTTTAGCCAGACTTAGCCACTCTTTCTCAATCAACTGTTCAAGGTAAGCACACAGGATATGAATCACTCCACAAGTTAAACTCAACATTAAGTTTTTAGTAGCCCACCATTAGCAGTCTTACCTAAAGATAATAAAGGCAAAAATAAGATTAGTAGCAGGATTTGATAAACACTAATAGAACAACCAAACTAGCAAGGACTACCCCTCTGCATTTTATATTCAGTCTTCTTCAGTTTATAACAGAAGCTGATTTACAGGCTATCAAAAACCTGTTTGAAAGTTCAGTGGCTTCCTAATCAACAGTGGTAAGTAATCGAGAAAACTGCAACATCCTTAAAACCATGTACAGATACAAGTTTAATAGCATGGAGATGCATGCCAGTGTGGGGATTTTCAAGAATGTGAGAACTGAAAACAGTCTCCAATATCCAGAAGGTGTAGCTTCCATACTTCCTGTAGATGTGCACAATCTACAAATTAAAAGTTGCCAAATGATAGAAGCTTATCTAACACGTTAGCAACTCTGCCTGTCTAAAATACACATCAGAACAGATCATGAAAGTCTCTTCAGTTTTAGATTAAGAGGATGGGTGTTCTAGATAAAAGAGGTGGGTAGGTAATCAAACTATTTGCCATGTAGCTACCCTAAGCAATAGTAAGAAAGACTATAAGTGGTGATAGCAGCTAGGAAATCTGGATGTTTCAAAAAATCATTTGGAATCACTTGAACCAAAAAGAAAAAGAGTAGAACAGTATCTCAACAGTGACAACTAGAATGCAAAATGAAAAACATGCATGTTGCTACACTGGTGTTTTCTGAAAGCACATTATAGAAAAGGTGAACTTGCAGAAGAAAATACAGGCAGGCATTTCTGTTAATCCTGTTAGGGAGTGTCCATACCTACTGAATTAAGGGTGACTCCAAACTAAAAGGTGAGTATAACCTTGCTTCGAGTATAACCACAGCTACTAGAAGTTTCATATCTACTTCTTTCAAGTCCAAAATGCCTAGGGATAGACCAACTAAGCAGGAGAGAAAAATATGCACGAGTGTCAATACGCCAACCTTTGGATGCTTAATTTCTAGCTAGTAATCTGTTTAGGGTTTGTACCGATTTCCATCGAATGCCCTTAATAAGCTTGCACAAGCAGCACAAGATTACTCTAAAGTACGTTGCAGTGACATGTTTTAATCAAGAACATGCTATACCCAATTTAATGTGATTCTATATGCCAGAAACAGTCTGTTCTTCTTACCCGATAGTGAGCAAGCTGGAGGGCAAGCTGCACGAAGGCATCAGGACTGGTTTTAGCTTTCTTTATTAGTCCCTTCCCAAAAGCACCAAAGAAAAATGAATGGAAGTCCACATCATCTGCCAGAGCTACAGCAGTGCTCAGAGACCTCTCAATCACTTCTTGACACTAAAATAAATGAATAAATAAATAAATGCACATATGTGTATATGCATGCATTCAATGGCATTTGAGAGAACCATTGAAAAAGTGCAAGTATTTTTAATTTATAAGAACTGCTGCCTTTATGCATGCCAGGAATACCATTATCTAAATAATCTCCCTTTGGAGAAAGACGAGAAGCAATCTCTGCCGGAAAGTTAAAATTCCAAAAGTTAATAAAAAGTAAGTTTTAAGCCAATACACATCTGGAGTCCAAAAATTACACTTTAAAAAAAACCACCAGCATTAAGACCGTTCAGATCACTAGAACATAAAAGAATGACCTACAGAGATAAAATGGCAATAATTGTGTGGCTTCCAATCTGACATACATGCTTAATTAAACATATCACCAACCATTTCCTTTTTATTCAAAATCCAAATAGATTATGGCAGTTTGGCTTGAACTCAGGCAATAAAAAAAAACCCAAAACGTATTATTTTAACGCAAAAAACCCAGCTAATCTCAAAGAACTATTACACAAGAGCATTTGTTGAGATGATAATAATGAAACCTCAAGCAACTTAAACTTCGTTTTAATACAGTTACTACTTAAAATAAGTGGCCACTTATTTTTGACATGTTGCCAACCAGGAAAGTTTCTAGCAAAAAGTTGGCATTTCCTGGCCAAAATTTTTAAAGAGTGATGTTTAAACCCCCTGATATCTTTTAAAGTAAAATGTCCACACATGAAATACACGTCTTACAGGACTCAAAGGAATTTAAAGCTGATTTATAGGGTTATCGGTAATTACTTAAATTATTTGACTGCTCAGGAAAAGAGGAGCTTCTTCCTCAAACCACTAGCTGTTCTGTACTTACTTCTTCTGGGATTTCCCACTGTAATTTGGTAGGAATAGGAATATTTTGATTGATATCTCCTTTGCAATGCCCATCTTCTGAATAGCCCAGTTCAAGATATTCAGTTGCCATTACATTCTGCAAAGAATGATACTTCTTCAGAATTGCAACACATTACATATTGCTGTGGAATTAGTATTTCATTGTGAAATCAGTATAACCCATTTTCACTACATAGTGAAATACAGCATACAATCTGCTTCCAAATACTGGAAATAGCTGTAAGTGAAGTCCTCTGGTTTACCTCTTATTTCAAGACATTTTTACTTGTGTTCTGAGTGGGAAGAATACCAGATATGCACAATCACCTGTTCAATTACACAGCATTTTGGTAGATGCTACTGAATTAATCAAATGTTTCAATTAAAAACCCTCCTCAAACTTACTAGTAGTAAAAAAAAGTCAGTCTTAAGAGTCTTAGATTTCACAGCTTTTGTTCAATTTAGATTCTAGAGAATTTCTGCAGGTTTGTTATCTGTCAAAACTTGCTCCTCAAGAAGCAGTTTATTTCAAAGTAAGTGCATATATCTGCAAGAATTTAGTAATTTTTAAGATGTGCATCCCACTCAAAATTGAAGTTTATTTTATATGTGCACTAGAGCTCTTGGGTGGGGAAGTAGAATGTTTCCAAGATGAACAATACAACTGCAACAACAGACAAAAAAGCCTCTGTCTTACAAGATTTCAAACATCCTCAATGTAAAAAAAAAAAAAAAAAAAAAAAATTAAAAAAAAAACCTAGATTTGAATCTGCACAATATGGAAAGAAACAGCTTCACAAAAAACTATTGCATGTTCTAAATATATATTTCTAATCTCTTCTTTTAAATTAATCTTCTCACTTAGTGGTCAGAACATGCCAATTATGAAATAAAGCTTAATCCATTCTATTCTAAAATCAGACAATCTATAAAGAGCTAACAACAGATAACTTTTTAGGAAATTAAATCCTACTTTTTACTTATATTAATTCTTAGCAGAAAACGAACCAACTAATATTAAGTACAGAGTTATAAACTAAAGCATATAACCTCATTCATTAAAAGAAAAAGGAACTCTCTTCCATTGAGCTAGTCTAAACTGCACTGTCAAGTCAATCTCAAATCAGTTTGGCCTTCTCTCTTCCCTGGTTAGAGAATGCAATGAGGATTTTTTTGTTCTTACATGCATGGAAATGCTCATATAATAAAACCAGGAAAACTACTTGGGGCACCAGTCAGACCTGAGACCCATTTGCACATAAAGAAATCAGAATTAGCTAATGTTTATGAAACAGTTTTGAGTGGTTGAGTCACATAACTGTTTATGGGTTTAAGCTTCAAAAAGAAAAAGAAAAAAATCAAATAGTATTTCAAGTAATAAACTAAGCTCATGATGAACAAATCTGACAAGAATTGCTCCATTCATTGCAAAATAAATACAAGAGATAATATAAACAGCACATCAATCTGCAGCCTATCAAACAATGGTTTAGAGGAAAAGTTAAACTCTGTACCATTTCTTTAAGTTTTCAAAGTAAGTGTGGGATTTTTATAGCACAAGAAAGCTTAAGTGCTTCAGGAGCATATATATGCGAAATACAATACCATATCAAAAAGGCAACAATCTACTGATATAGAGTAATATCAACAAATTAGATGGGAAGCTGTATCACTTTTCTATGAAGACATCTATGCTCATTAAAATGCCATAAAGACCTTTAAAGGACAGCAAACTTCTCTTTTAAGCAAAGGTTGGGGTTTTTTTGGTTTTGTTAATAAAGACCTTTAAAGGACAGCAAACATTTAAGCAAAGGTTGGGGTTTTTTTGGTTTTGTTTTGGTTTTTTTGTGGGTTTTGTTTGTGTTTTTTTTTTTTTTAAATTCTACAGTCGCTGTAGAGACAAGCCCATAATCACTCATCAGCAACATGAATGCAAGAAATTGAAAGTAACTGCTGAGCTTCAGGACTGTTGCATGGACCACATCACATTATCATCTGCATTAATGTTTAGTACAAAACACCTACCTCCCACAGGTGTCCAACAATAGGAGCATCTGCCCAAGAGTGCTCTGCATTCAGACCCATTCTGCCATTTTTGAATACTATAAGAGTGAATGTTTTATCAAACCACCTACAAAAGAAATTAAGATTTGCTTATGGTTTTGCACATTTCAAAAGCATTTTTATACTGCAATTTTATCTCTCTCAAAAATTCACATTCAAATGCACTAGTTCTTGGCTTTTTTTTTTCTTAATAATAGCTTATTTAAATAAATAGACATAAATTTGAACCTCATGAGGTCCAACAAGGCCAAGTGCAAAATCCTGCACCAGGGTCAGGGCAATCCCCAGTATCAATAGACTGGGGGATGAATAGACTGAGCAACCCTGCAGAGGGGTAATGATGGATGAAAAATTAAGACACGAGCCAGCAATATGTGTTTGCAGCCCAGAAATCCAACCATATCCTGGGCTGCAGAAGAAGCAGCATGGCCAGCAGGTCGAGGGGAAGCGATTCTCACTCTCTACTCTGCTCTTATGAGACCCCACCTGGAGTCAGCAGCATGGCCAGCAGGTCGAGGGGAAGCAATTCTCACTCTCTACTCTGCTCTTACGAGACCCCACCTGGAGTACTGCATCCAGTTCCAGGGTTCCCAGTACAAGACATGGATCTGTTAAGTGTGGATCCAGGGGAGGGCCATGAAAATGGTCAGAGGGCTGGTCCACCTTTCCAATGAAGAAAAGCTAAGAGCTGGGGTTGTTTAGTCTGGCTCTGGGACACCTTCTTCTGGCCTTTCCATATATAAAGAGGGCTTAGAAGAAAGCCTTTTTACCAGGGCCCATAGTGACAGGACAAGGGGCAACAGATATAAACTGAAAGAGGGTAGCTTTAGATTTGTTATAAGGGACAACCTTTTTTTTTTTTACAGCAAGGGTGGTGAGACACTGGAACAGGTTGCCCAGAGAGTCTGTGGATACCCCATCACTGGAAGTGTTCAATGTTAGGCTGGACAGAGCATTGAGCAATCTGATGTAGTGAAAGATGTCACTGCCCATGGCAAGGGAGGTGGACTAGACGATCTTCGAAGGTCCCTTTCAACCCAAACCATTCTGTGATTCCACGAAATCATCTTATAAGTCACTAATTCATATGTATTAGCCACATGAATTGTGAAATTCTAAAAAAGAGAAAGCATTTTCCAGAGTCAATACTGTACCTGTCATAACATCTGCCATGCATTAAGGATTTCGCATATGCATCCAGTGACCTCACTGGATCTTCTTTCCTGTACCCTTGCTCGATGTCATCCAATGTCACAAAAAATGCTGCTTTTTCAACAGCATCTAAGGACTGTTTGTTCTTTCCACAGCTAAAATAAGCCTGCCGAGCTTTAGCCCATGGTACTCTGCAAAAAGAATTTGGTTTATAGCCACATTATGTGAATTTGTCAATGTTTTAGCACTCTTAAGATCGCTATGAGACGTTCCTTCTACTCTCATCAATTTGAGCAACTACTTTCATTGCATTTAAATTATATCAGAAGTGGAAAGTTCTGAAAATACATGTACAATGTAATCCTAGGAACCAATTCAACATATCACACGTGTGAAGCTTAATCCTCAGAAAGTCAACATTTCTGCAGCATGCAGTACATGTAGCATAGTTCATCTACATTTATAACTGAACAAAAGAAAATATTATATGGAAGAAGAAAATAGTAACAATAATGAACACAATCAACAGATATTAATATCCATCGTTGCAGCACTGAAATCTAAGAGTCTGGACAACTGTAAATAAAAAGTTCCATAGTAAATGCCTGAAACAGATCTGAAGTTGAAGAAGTCCTGAACAATGTAAATTCTGTATGGTTGTGTCACATTTATTTATAAATTTACATGGGTTTCACAACAAAAAAATATTTCCGTTTGTTTTAAAGCAGAAAGTGAGAAAAAAGATGGACTCCTAATAAGAAAACATATCAAAATTCACAGCTCTTTCTCTCCCTTGTCCACAAACAACTAGACAGATTGAACTAAGTTTGTTAATTTAATTGAATTCAATGATCTTGCACCTAGAACCAACTGAGTACACACTGCTTTATTTTCTAGGTGCAAGTCATGAGTGTGGAATAACAGTTACGAATTCACATTCTCCATCTTAAAGATTAAAAAATTTTTAAGATTTAAAATGCTAGTGAACCCCAGAGCAGATACAAAACTCAAGTAGTTCAATGTGTAATACCGTAAAGCTTCCAGTTACCACTCTTATGATAACCACAATCAAACCAAACTTCTCCAGCTAAGTATAGGTAATCTGCATACAGGGTTGCCACTGCAAAATTACTTGTAACTCCATATAGCTACAAATGACTGAAGACCTGTTACATGTTAGCAATATACAAAACCAGTGATTAAGGTATAATCAACTGACCGTAGGCTACTTTAAAATTCCAAAGCCAACATTCAATTAGCATGCTATGCAACAATTTGTAAATATTAAAATTAATTTTAAAAAATAGTAACTGCCATACCTGTCTCCTGCAGTAAGAGCTGCTAGCTTCTCTTCACCAGCCTGAGGCTCTGAATCATCATCGAGAATTCTTTGCATCTGCTGTTCAATTTCGCGGGGTTTCAACAGTCTACCATCATGGTACAGCCACACTTTGAAGTAACGGCCCTTATGATACACAACAATGTGTTTGCTGTCTTTCACATGCTGGAGAGTATCTAGAATTGCAATCACATATGCAAAAACAAAGCTGAAGGCTCCAAACGCTAACACACTAAATAACATCAAATGCCTACTGCATGCACTACCAGTTAGCCACAGCTTATTTATTGTAACAAAGTAATAAATAGTGAGGAATAAACTTCTCCCCCATGTTATTTCAGCATAAAGATTCCTGCATGAAACAGTCAGATACGATAATCACTTGCATACATAGCACCACCAGTTTCCACACTGGAGGCCAATATTAAGCAACTAAATCTGTATTTCTGTATCTGAAAAGTGAGCACTAGCAGTGTAGCCCGATTAAGCAGTCAGCAAAAGAACACGCTAGATGAGTCTGAGGAAAGGTACTTTTTAATCATCTGCATTCAAGTGTTAGAGAACTCCGTACAATCTGTGGGGTCTTAAGAGAGCCCAAATTTAGTACCATAAGCTTTTGTTCTTTTACAAAGAACTTTTTTCTGGCAGATGCAGAGTGAATACTCCATCTATGGCAAAAAAAAAAAAGTGTAGTCTTATGAAAGTCAGTGAAACAGAAACATAGGCCACAAAATTTTTCTCGCTTTATTATCTATATGGCTTAATTGAGATAAGCCTGCACCTAGTCATGAAGGCATTGCATCAAACCACAGATGGTTTCTACAGCAGTCAGGAAAAGCCCTCAATTAATGAAAACTGTTAATTGAATTCCTTCACTACCCCAAAGAACTGTTATATTCCTATGAATCTGAAAAGACACACTACTGAGATGAAGAAAAAAAAAATGTCAAAAATGAGGGCTGAGGCTGTAAGTCATGATTCTGAGAGATCTGAGAAACACTGTACCAGGAAGGAGTTCTATACTTTGTGTGCTCTCAGCTACCCATGAAGTTTTGGTAGGTATGCTCCATCCACTGATCAGAAGCAGTTTTATGCTAATCATATCTTCAGCTATCCACTTTGCATTTCTGCCAAAGATAGAATGCCTGTGATAAAAGTGCTAGGATTGGCAGAAGCATCACTCCAACAGTCAAGTACACTAATACAACGGGTTGTAAGTTGAGGAGAAACCCCACAAAGGGAGGAAAGAAGCAGCAAAGCAATCAGCTAGTGAGGCAACTTTTTCTATTAATCCCAACCTAAGTCAGGACACCAAGTATTTGTCTCATGTACATGATGTGTCCATACAAAAATGACCACCTCTTGAGCATAAAAAGCAAGAGTGAGATCATTAGTCATCTACATCAACAACTGCCTTCACAGCAGTTGTTGAGCCCTGGCAATTACCTGTCAGACACCTTACTTATGGGCCTAAATACAGATTTATGCACCTGGAGTACAGATTTGTTGTAATACAAAAAAAAAAATTTTCCTTTTTCTTGCCTGTCCAAGAAGTCATTTATGTACATCTGAAGATGCATGTAACATGCTGCATGGGTTTCCTATAAAAAAAAAAAAAGGGAATGGAAAGACGTAAAGGCTCTTCCCTACTTAAAAGAAGTGGTTAACTCCACGGTGTGTTTTATTAAAAGACATGAAGATTAAACAACTGTTCAGGTTACAGGATATAACGTTCATTAAGGTTTTACCACCAACTAGCATGAAGACATGCCACAGAATTTTTTTTTTCCTTAATATGCTGTTCCTTTAGGAACTGTAACATACATAAAATACTTATAATTGAAATAAGGGGGCAAGAAATCAAGCTGCTCATGAAGATCCAGGGAAAGTGTCTTTAACTCACTTATCTCCATACAGAATGACAAAAGTTGATTTTCCTTTAGAAAAATAGAAACAATGAGAGACTGAAAAAGTAAAATAGGAAACATGAAGTGCTTAGGAGGAAAATAAGGTAATCTTAAAATGCTGACTGTACCTTCATTTGAAAGACTTTAAGCAGGAAAAAAGCAAGGAGAACAATTAAGATATACAGGATGTATTTTAATCAGGTGTTATAGTTAGAATGGGTCACTTCTACACTTCTGTGCAAAACTCATTTCAGACTAAGAGAACACCAAATCCAAAGCTAAATGCAAACAGTTCATATCTTTTATTTTATTGAGGACAGGGAAGGGGCAAGGATAGCACTCTCAGTACTTAAAAGTATTCTAAATAACAATAGCTCATACATTACAGTTGTCTAATAAGAGATTTTAAAACTTGCTAGTGTACTTAAGCTACTAGTTCATGATCAAGGAGTAGTCATATCATCTCTATTTTGCAGATAAAGAAAGCCAAGGCATAGCTGGGAAATTAAGTCCTAAATTAATTAATTCCAAAGGGCAGCAGCAGAACCAGGAGTAAAATTCTTATCTGACACTTGCACCTACTGCTTTGTCCACTAGCCAATGCTACTTCCCCCCTTATCCAACTTCATACGGTACAGCAAATGTCAGATCTCTAGCAGGGAAGAGTGGGCACATCCCCATGCCTGTTTAGAAACTCTTTTTTATTCTGCAGTTGAATGGGACTAACATGCTCAAAGGCAGCTTGAAACCTAAGAGTGAGTTGCAGATCTCAAAAAAATATATCCTATCTTCAAGTGACAGCCCATATGCACATTCCCAATGGAGGTGACTAACCAATAACCCCTTGCATTCCAAATTCCTAGTGATTGTCCTTTGCACTAATCATGACTGTCAGTATAACTCTGCCAAATACTGTACTTCATTCTGATGCTGCCACAATGATGCAGTGTGGGATAAACATGTGAACTCAGTTTTGAGAGGCTCTTCAGCATATAACCAGATCAGAGAAACCTAGATGTAGCTTAAGCTTTTGCAGAAAGCACAAGCACAACAGAAGTCTACACTCAAATCTGCTGTGAAATCATTAGTTTACTTCTCAAAGAACAAGAAAATGGACAGCATCATTTTCTTCCACCTGTTGACTACAAATGTTAGCATTTCTAGATGCAATCTGCCTCCTTTTACAGTGACAAAACTCAGGGGAAAAACACAACAAAACAAAAAAGCCACTTAAGATTATCACAACCAGCTTGAGGCTGGAAAATTTAGGATAAGCTGATGGAGATCATTGAAGGCTACCTTGGGGAGAAACCCGTGATGAACCTTTAGGGATACATTACCTTTAGAAAAATAACACCATATGGAGAAGAATCAGCCTCAAGATCTTGGATGATGTAGTGACCATAAAAAAATACAATGTTTTTATGTTGAGATACAACAACAAGAAAATTTACCAAAGGTTTGCCAATGACTAAAGCGAAATGCTCTTATGTCTATAGGCAGCGTTTAATGAATGGATGCAATGAGAGCATATGTACACCTACAGTGAAAAAGTGTATATGAACTGTCACAGATACAACTTTTTTGACTAACATGATTGCTTGTGATCATGTAAACATATCCTTAGTCTCCCACAATAACCAGAAGTTGCAGGAACAGACTCAGGTGAAAATGACCCTGCTATAAGTCAACAGGTACACTCCTTTATTCAACATTAAACTTAGTGAAACTACATGAAGACGTAGTTACTCATAGCTTAGGACAATCGGACCATTGCTGGGAGTTAGGGCAGGGCAGGCAGGAACTAACAAAACCCAGAGTATATATTTTTTGAATGTGTTACAGAGAAAGTTTTGGACACAGTCCTTTCACAGTTGATTTCACTTAGAAGATGTCTTACAGTGCATACAAAAGGTCAAAGTAGCAGTGACATTGAAAACCTTGACAGGACTAGGACTGTAGCTGCCCCAAAACCTCTAAACAACTAGTGTTGAACGTATGTTCATATGGAGAAGAACATATTGGAATGTTGTTGTGAATCATAAGCTGAAAGGAAAAAGGGAAAAGTCAAGCAAGCAAAAGATTTTTAAATGGTTGAGATAAGAAAACACAACTTTTACAGAGATAAAAACATGGATATCAAAAGATCCTGAAATAATAGAATGGAAAAAAAGTAAAGGTTATTTATAAATTAAAAACACAGGGCAGACAACAGTTTCTTGAAATTAGTTTTTAATTCAAGTAAAGGAAGAAACAAAAAACACTGAAGAAATTTCAAAATTACCCTAAAAGGAAAAACATTTATGCACTCTACAGCAATTCATTACTTCCTGAGCATCAGAACACAGTATTGGTGTGTCCTTGTGTCTGTCAGATCCTCATCTGGAAAAACAGCAGTTTAGCTGAAAATACCCCCAAAACTGAATTCCATTATGATGTTTATTCTCCTCGGCTGGCCCTACTTACCTGATTCCTCTCCTGGGATACGGGAGGTATTAAACATCCGCTCCCACTGAGCTGAGCAGAGTGGAACAGTAGATCCCATCAGAAGAATCTGTGGTAAACATATATTAAAATATAAATTTGCATATACAATTAGCAAGTCAAATAGGAAAGAAAAAAACAGGATCTGGCTAAAGACAGGCTGTAGAACAGTAAGATTTATAATGTATCAACTCAGGGTTGTTTTCTGACCCCCTCACTTTTCATTGTCTTTTTTTGAACTACATGTGGAAGATTCTACTGACATTCCAGTAGCTGTATTTTTCCCCACCCCTACCAAAAGTTCACCCTTCAGGAGGGATGACTGAAGCTAGCTAGCATCTGAAATCCAAAGGGCTCTCAATGGCTGGTCCAGATGCAAAACTTGTATGTGCAGCATGCATTACCCCTTAATTTCCTCCTTTAAAGCTATTTCTGGCTGTGTAGGAACAAAAGTTCACATTTCTCAGATTTGTAGTTACATACGACTAATTACATCTCTGCCATCACCTTCAACAAAACTACTTAATTATTTCCACAGTATTTGTTCAATACAGCACAGCTACTGAACAGAACAGAAATTTAGAATGGATTCACCTTGCCAATCTTTACTACCTAGACATTAGTGCAACAGAGGATTTTATCATCATCTATACTTGGGCTGCCACTGGCCCACTCTTGGCCTCACGGTCCAGGCCTTTGTCCCAACCACCCTTTGTGCTCACACTACATGATACCACAGACTTTTCAGACTTCAGTGTCTCAAAAGTACCATTACATGCTTAGCACATACCAATAACATCTGTTATACAGAATACTTAACAAATGCAAGTACAAGCCTCCATTTGTCTTTTGGGCAAATACTATCATTTAGGTTGGAAAAGACCTTTAATATCAGATATGTACGTTAATTTCAAACACTGCAAGTAGTTGACGTGACAGAATCCTGTATGTTTGATAGTTGGTAGTTTCTACTCGCGTACAATTGAAGTGTTTGGGACCACAAATTTAGTTACATCTTACATATAGTTCTGACATTCCTCTCCTCTCCCATTCTGGAAACTTCTTACAGATTGTGCCGGAAAAAGATCAAAAGCCATTTAAACTGAGATACATACTGGCTTGATTTCTTGTCTGTCCAGTTTTTTCCGATAGAGCAGGATGGCATGGATAACATTACCAGCTCTAGCTGCCTGCAGGGTTGTGGGAGATAAATAAAGGAAGTCCTGTAAAGTACATAAGAATCATAAGTTAATGATTACCAGACTACATTTAAAAAAAAAAATAAATACTGATAGTACTTCTCATCCATGCTCTTAAACTTTATCCTGGTCAATACTGAAAAGGCTTTAAAACATATTAAGTGGACTAGTGCAGCAAGTTGATGAATTGAAACTTAAATTTCTTCAACAGTCACAATCTCCTAAAACAGCATCAGTCTTAAAACATACATGATAGCTGTTAATTATTCCAGTAGAAAAGACAATGCTACTTAAAACTTGAATCTGAGACTACCATATTTCCTCTTTTTGCTTTTAGAGTGTTTTATAATTTTACTTCCCATACAGATATTTGCAAATATGAGTACGCACACCTCATTGAATTGTGTTACCCCTGAAGTTTTAGATGGAGCTTTTGAAAGATTGCTTGTTGCAGTAAGCACAAAACTGTGTATCATTACTGCATGAGTTTGCCTAAGTGGGAGATGTGCTAAGTTTGTTATTAAGATAGCACTGTACTTGAAGACATTGGCTTACAGGCTATACTAGAAGAAAGAAAAACAAAGGTCACATAGTTAGTGGCAATGCATTTCTAAGCAGAAAGATATAATTAAATGAGATACCTGGCAGAAATTTTACAGTGCTTCTTTGACACATAAGGTGTTTATACTATTTACTTACCATTGCAAAATAGTTACTATTAACCATAATTGGTCCACGTCCTCTAAGGTAGATATATTCTTCCCACCAATCACTAACCTGTAGCAGGAAGGAAAACAAAAGCAATAAAATCTTGTAATTTCCACAGCTTGTGTCTTCTGTGTTAATGACTCCACAACACAACATTCTATACAGAAACAGGAAGGAAAGTGCCAGCATGCCCCCTACTTAAAGGCAAACAAACCCTTATTTGTGTTAAACTTTAGGCAAAACAGCAAAAAAGGGGTGAAAGAATTAAGTTCAGTTGTAGCTCTCTGATAAACTTCTGAAGAAGTCAGCATCTTTAGTTAATGTTTAAAATGTATCGGATCTCTTGAATGTTTTGCAGCCTTTGCCAGGACATTGTAGCTCATCTTAGGCTACTGGGTATAGCTAGATGTTAGATAATATATCAGGAAGGAATTATATTAATAGTTCTCACTATGATGTTTAGGTTTGGGTTTTCTTTTTGGAAAAAAAAAGAAAAAACCCAACTTGTTACAATTCTCTCTCTTCCACATGCTTTAGCTGCTCTATATGAAAAAGTTGTCCTAAATCACTCTTCTAAACTACCTGGGTAGCCAGGCCTGCTGTTGAGTTATCAAGCTTAACCAGCAAATAAACAGACCTCAAAAGCAATCATAACAGCAATCATTTGCTCCAGAATAACACACAAAATGAGGATTCATTCTTTCACATTCCATTCACCACACTTTACCAAATCACACAAATTATTTCTGTGCAAATCAGGTGGTCTCCAATGCACTTTATAAAAATATTAGCTTCAGTTGCCTTTTTCTACATCTATGAGTATGAAAACTTAGCCAAAAAAGGCAACAGGGAACAAATTAAATTACGTAATTTGAAGAACTGAGCCTCCTATTTATCTACTCACATAGTTTGTGGCCCACCAGGATTTTAGCTTCAAATACCACTGAAGCCTTGGTCCCAAATTAAATGCAAAATCTTTGGCAAGACCCTCCATTCTTCTGAACTCTTCATCATCCATAAGTGGCCGAACCGATTCCAGATACTAGCATACAAAAAAGAATCAGCATCAGTATAGTAACCAATACGCAGCTTCTTGTCGTTCCTACACAAAGCATCTGAACAGTAGACAAAGATTATCCAGACTAAATTCATACAGTTGCAAATACTATGTTGTTAAAATAAGGTTACGCATTCTTCTAAACATCTGCCTGTAAAGAACAAAAATGAGATCTTTTTCCAGACATTTGTCAGTGAATCACAAATGGAAGAGATTACTTTTCTAAAGATACTTTTTCCACTCAAAAGGCAAAGATATACTGTTGCTTCAGTATCAGGCCTCAAGAAAGATTTTTTTAGTCTCTAAAAATGAAACTTTCCGTTTCTGTGACATAATATCCTTCTTACACACTTTGCTGTAAGGTTTTGTGTCATAAAGCACATATTTATATTTTTAAGCTGTGGAAGAAAAAAACCAGTATGTTTCAAAAGCCTTGGAAATCACACTTCATTGCATAGTCTTACATCAACAGACATCACACCATCCAATACGAATTACGCCGGCTTCAAATTGTCACCAGTTTCAGTGGTTTATCATAGCCTTTATTTTAATTTCTATGCAAAAGTTTTAATCCATTATACCATATTAATACCACCATGCAATTCTTTTAAAAGACATGGCAAAAAAACCCACAGGGACATCTATAAATAAGGATTCAGTGTTAATGAAGAAAATGAATTAATGAATGTACACACCCTATTGACTGTGTCTTTAACCGCTGGAACTGGCAATCGTGGTAAAGATGTCTGGAAACTGTATAACATGGGTTTACGTCCCGAGAAGAGCTTTACAAGTGTCTGAAGAAATACAAAACCAAAATACACACATCAGTAAAGTGTAATGTAACTCTCCGGGTTTTTTGCTGGTAAATTATACTGTACTAAATTCAGCTATTTAACTATTATATTTATCACTGTTTCACAAATAAAAAAGGCACTGATGTAAACTAACTTCCTAAAGGTTAAACAACATGTCAGTGGAATAGAAAGACTGATAGTCATTCCTGACTTCCCAATCTTCCAGTCATTAGGCAATACTGTTGTTTATGAATGGCACACCTTAATCCCAACAGAAAACATTTACTTAGCACTTCTTTTCTTCACACATTTCCCTCTGTAATGATTAAAAAAGTAAGCCTACTAGTTGATCTTTTACTCTATAGTAGATACGAATAAAAATATCTATACTGTGCTTCAAAATAGGAATCATTATCAAGCCTGTCACTCAGCCAAGGATCCTAGATGACTATAGCCACCTTTAAAAATAATTATTATGCTTTGAAATCATGGTTTAATATTTTTCCAAAGTTATACCTCAACATCAATAATAGTATTGGTATTACAGGGAGTTTCTTCAAGCATGAGTCAATTTCGGATAGCCTACTCCATGATTTGAACATACTAAATTGTGCAAGCATGCCAGTGTTATATTCAGTGCTTGTGTTAAAAACCAACAAAAAAAAAAAAAGCCAGAGATGACAGTTCCTATCTCAGCTTCAGGTATTACGCATCCCTTGCTTTCCATGGGAGCAGCGTTTCTGTCTACTCTCAGCTGTGACATGCAGTAGGCTGAAAATCTAGACCATGCAATTTCTAGGCTACACATTAAAGGATTTTGATATTATCACCCTATTTCAGCATGAAAGTAAGGTAAAGTATTACACCAACAATCCAGTGGAACCTTTGTTGTCAAAGTCCAATCTTGCTCCAATATACTATACCGTATATTGCATATAGGCCAATAGACTAAAGACAGAAGAAAACAGAGGATGTAATTTCACTACTAAATTCCTAGAACTTTTCCCTTCTATCCTCCCCACAACTGACAAAACTACTTATTAAAATGTAGAGTTCCGTCCCCCCTCCATTTCCTTGGTCAGTACAGCTAGAGGAGGTTGTTTTAAGCAGCACAAAAATATTAAGAATTGCAGAGTATTACCACCACCAAAGACCTCTCTGCAAATGGATCTGTATCAGAGTCGTCAGATGTACATGGATGCACCACAGTGATCAGCCCAATGAAACCTAGTTGTGTTTCATAACAAATTTGAAGCCAGGTGAAAAGAAAAGCCTCAGCTTTTCATAAGAAAATCTAATTCCATACTTGGAGACAATTTTATTCTAGAACTCTTAGGCCAGGAAAGGCTGAAATTATCTTCATACAGAGAGTACCTGCTCAATTGACAAAACCAGCAAACACATTTCACAGTATCTCTTAAGTAAACTTGTAGAAGAGAATTTGTAACAGTTTGAGACCATTAAAGTGGTCTGACAGACATGCACACTTAATTACATGTCTGATTTTATGCAGACACAACAAATAATCTCATCCTAGCACATGTTGCATCTGTTCACAGATTATTATTATTTTTTAACTTATTTTTTAAAACAGCAATGAATATTTGCGTTTTCCCCCTAGTCCTGACACAGGAAATTTGACTTTAGAAGATGGAATATGTTCATTAAAAGTGCCACCAGACTTCCAACCAGCCTGAAAATCACTTTGTACTGTGACTGAAATCAGAGCTAAGGTTTTTGATCTGCATGGCTATTTGAACAGAAGACAGTATGCTCACAATAGCATTTTGCATGCTGTTAATCAGCATGAAAAAACAGCTAAGAAAAGAAAAAAAAAACAAAACAGCCACACAACAGGAAAACCCCTCCAGAAAATTACACAGTTTTAAAAGGTAATAAAAATCTAGAATGCTAAGGTAATTGATACTGTTTTACTAGGGAATCCAGTCTTTTCTTTTATTGGGACTAGCTAAAGAAAAAATAAGGTATTAATATAGAGCTTCATATTAAGTACAGATGAGACTGTTGGGCATACACCTTTATAGTGTTCTGTATTTTAAAACATATAATACACAACAAAATACATATGCAACATATATAATAGACAAATTTATAAATACAATATGCGACAAAGCATGGTAAGCAGCATTACAGTTCATACTGTTTAAGGTTGATAAGGCATTATTAACAGCTTCAAAATATCTATCTGGTAGGACATGCTGAAAACCCAGACAACTACAGCTTCAAGCAACTGACAGAAAGCCTTACCATTCAGAGCTGTACTGTACAAATTCAAGTCATGAGGCTCCTGATACTGCTTCCAGGAGAAACTATCAATTAGAAATTTCATTTGTAACAGATGAACATTAAATTCTATTTTAGTGTACTATTCTGGATACCTGTTCTTGAACATATTTCACAATAAATCATGACACGTTGTTACTCTAAGACGTCAGTTGATTTGTGAGGCTGCAGAGACAATTTTATCATAGTAGGGCACTTAAGTTATTTCTACAACAATACTGGCAAAAGTGAGTTGAAACAACTGAGTCCAAGCAACAAAACCCCACTTCATCTGTTGGAGCACCTAAATGTTTCCTCGCTTTACACCCATCACATCCTTAAAGGATCCTTTTCCAAAGCAGCACAATAATCAACAGGAGCCAGATCACTCTTATGCGAAAACTGCATAACAAGACACCTACCTTACACTTGTTCTCCAACTTATTTTGGAGGCATACCATTAAATCAATTGACATTCAATATTATTTTCTTCAAGCATAAGATTAATTTTAGACTGGTTGACTAGAAATCCTAACATTTCAACAAAGAATTAAGGTAGCACTTTCTGGGGAGGACAAGATTCTTTGGTGCTGCAGCCCAAGTTCTTTAAGCTGCACTTGCACACAGAGGAAAAAGTAGGTATTTGAGTCACACAGTCCCAAGGTATTGGCAAATTTAGAAGTTATTCTTGGAGTGTTTATTCTTTCTTTTACAAACTACTAAATAGTTAATTATAGCATCAGAAAGATGATAGCAATTAGTAGAAATATCTACCCAACAGCCTCCTGTCCCACGACACAGAAAACACAAGCAAGGAAAAACCCACATAATTTTCTCTTTGAATACAGATCAAAAAGAAGTTAAGATGAAACAGGAAGACAATATATCCTTACCATCCAAAACTTGGTGCCTGCAGAAAGTTTGCCATGTTCAGCAAACATCCAACCATGATAGGAAAGCAGCATTTTTAGAGAGTAGCGCATTGTGACAATAAGGGCAACCCAAAGCCCCGTGCCAAAAAGTATTCCACTCACGATGTTCTGTGTTTGGTTTGACATATAGCCACTATTGAAAACAAAAGCCAGCATGTGCCAGTTAACATCAGTTTAAGTTCTAAAGAGAACCTAATATTGTAAACCTAAGTCTATTGGTACTACCGGGCGGGCATTACATAAGCTTCATGCCTGTTTAGACCTTTTTCATAAACTCCTTTCCAAACACCCTCTCATGCAGCAAGATCAAAGGCCACAGAAGTTGCCAAATATGTTTTCCAAGTATTTAGGAAGCAATGTAGTAATACTGGTATAACAACCTATCTAACAACCCTCATACATTTGCTTATTGAGCTTACTCTGTCACAAACATACTGTTCCAAAACTGATACACTTTAACAGGGATTAGCTTTAAGAGTAGCTACAAATAAAACTGATTTCCTTTAGAGAAACAGTAAGTCTTCAGTCTACTTACGTTGTATCAAGTGTTCGGTTGATTTTAGCTATTATTCCTAAAGAAGGATCAATTTTGGCATACATTGTTGACATCACACCCACAACTACAATAAGCCAGCTAGATGGGCTAGCAGGATAAACACCAGTGATAATTCCATTCTGAAAAGAAAAGCCTTCACATAATTTTTTCATACCAAAGTGGTTGACTTCTTATTACCATGGAAAGAAACAAAAAAAATCAACATGTTTAAGTCATTTAGTTTTAAACAAGAAGATTATCCAACATTTTCTTACGTATGCTTAACTCGGGAGTAGGGAATGGATTTAGTTAAGTTTGACTTACAGAAAGTTGTCACAATGATATAAAGAATTAGAGGAACTTTCAAGTTCTTTTGTAGACAACACTGATCCTGCTGCAAGTCTGACCAAAACCACTGAAATTCACAAATAACTTTAGAACAAATGACACTTCAATAATTCCCACTTACACTGAGTTAGGCCTCTCTAAATGAAATATTCTACTGAACAAAACACTGAAAGCTGGAATCAAAGGGGGGTTTTTTTATAGCTTTATAAGAAAATTTTACTAAGACTACTGCTAAAAATATGTTTTTGAAAGAGATGTTGAAGGTAGCCTGCAGTTTATCTAGTCTGCTTCTAATAAAATACTTACCATTTATGATCCCATGAACAAAACAATGAATTCACAACCATCTATACCAAATACCTCCTCAGAAACATTGCTATTTAGCTAACTTGTACAAGATAGATAGATGTTCAGATAACTTTTGGAAAACAGCATTCTCCTTAATTTGAAATTTGGATTTTGGCAAAGAATACATAAAATAGGGTAGTCTTGTGCCTCTAAGTGATATGGCACTAAAAATCACAACTATTTATACTTCTGACCTGTGCTAAAAGATTACATAATTACATGATGTATTATGAAGAGAATGAAGTAAATTGAAGCTATTGTTAATTTCTAAATGTTTCATCTTGCTTCCATAGAATAAATCAAAAAGACATACCCTTTCAGTCTTCACGGCATCGCCCATTACTACCTTCCTCAGTATCCCTTGTCTTAACTAAAACCCACGCAAGTCTTTCACAATAAGGAACTTTATTTGCCACAAAGCCAAAAAATTAAGTTTTGTTTAGGCAAAACTTCAATAAATCTATAAAACATTAAATAACCCTCAAGTTTGGTGGACTTGACTAATTTGAAATACCTTGAATCTGATGAACTTTTTCTTCCATGAATGGACACCGGATAGGTAAATTTGTTTGAGTGCCTCATGGCTCATTCGCAGGTCAATCCCATCTGGAGTTACTGTGAATTGAAAAGCTACTGCTTGATGAGCTTCCGCCATTTTAGAGAGAGTTCTGTTAAAAAGCAAAGTTAAAAAATTATTTCCATTTTGCTCAAAGGAGCTAGGAGTTAGTGCATTTCTAGCAAGATATCTTCTACACAGTAATTTGGGGAAATATTTCAAAGTATGCCAATTTACATACAGTACTTGTCCCTTCCTTACATGCTACACTTGTACTTCAGTCTGAGCTTCCAGTATATCAATTAAGGTACCTCTTCTAACCACAACAGCTGAAAATGGAAGCAAAACACTCTCGTGTAATTTAGGCCTTTTAGCAGGATTGCAGCAAGATGAATATTGTGCATACATGCAATATATAAAAATTCAGAGCAGAGCAGAAAATTAAAGCCGTAATATTTAGAAAAAAAGCGTATCACAGGTACATAGCATCTCACTCTGTAATGGTAAAGGAGAGTCAGAAAATGTTTTTTTCATCATTCTAAAAAAAAAGGTTTTTAAAGTCTTCACCTCAGCTAGCAAAACAAAGCTGCTTCTGGCCATAACATCCTCTGGAATTTTTTTCCCCTGCTTAGGGACACGGTTTAGTGGTGGGATGGCAGGGTTAGGTTAACGGTTGGACTTGATGATCTTCAAGGTCTTTTCCAACCTAGACAATTCTATATTCTAATTTCAAGCTGATTAGTTACAGCAGTAAGACACTATAGCCCCTGTGGCTCTGAGTTCTGACTGGAAAATAAGTGCAAAATCAAAACTATGCAGAGTTGAGAAAACCAAATCACAACTGTCATAAAAATGACCTTCACATAAACTGAGCTGCAGTTCTATTAAATTTCCTCTTAATTTCAGATTTGTTTAACTACCTAAATAAATACCACGAACAGTGCCAATATAGACAAAAGACCATCAAAATGGGCAGGCATAACAGGCTCAAATAAAAACCACTGGAAGTTAAAACAGAAATGTAACTGTGATTCTGTTTACATATTTGTGTCTCAACTCCGCTTGAGGGTACAGCCAATTTGAATTGAACCATATGCTCTTATTCACCAGCTCATCTTCATAGCTTCTTTCTTTCTGTAACCAGCATTTCTACATAAATAGCCTGGAAGCTGCCCCTACTAATCAGTTATTCAGAGCAATGTTGTTTGAGCACTTACAATCAGAACACAGATTTTTGCAGACAGGCTCTATGTATAACATTGACATGGTCCAAACTATATATTCCTGAGGAGACCATTGTCATTCCAAAGTCTTTTGTCCCCATTCATTTATTAGCTTACCAAAACTTCTGTACATAATCCTAAAACCAACACGCTCTTAGAAGTATGGCAAAAAGGTAGAGGAATCCATAAGCCCATCTGTAGGTCAGGATTCAAGGGCAAGTTTTAATTTCACATTTTTAACCGGAACAAGACACAACATTATCAATACCAAGTGTTTTAAGGTGGCACTGGCATTTCCATTTAAGCAAAATCAAAAGGAAGTACAACTACTTCATGCCTTTTGAATCCTAGAGGCTGAAATTTACATTTCTTTGCAAACTTGAAGCTTAGACTTTGTAATTAAATTCTGGTAGGCATTCATTTCCTGTTGAACAGCATGTGAGGGCTAACCAGTGCCATTTAGCTTGGGCACTTCAAAAGCAGTGTATTATGACTGTAGTGCTGCTCCTCTAAACTGTAAATATTCCACTATGTCAAAGTCATCTGGAGCACAAAGAAGGTGCAAAGGTGTATGAGTATACAATTAGGGAATGTAAGCACTGGGAATGCTGCAGTAATAGCAGGCTTAGGAAATAAATACACAATATAGGAAGAGAAAGAGCATTAGGCAGAGTTGAACAAGGTAAGGTAACATCTAGTAAGGTTGCTGACCAATAGTGACTGTTTGCAATATTTAAAGTGCCTATCCCTAGACCAGCCTGCAATGATCAACCTCTGCAATACAACTACTGCTACAGTCAGTGGCTGATGGCAATTCACAGATCTTCCAAATCCATCAGCACTGTTCTCAAGTTTTAGAGGGCGAGTCCTGGGTGAATCAGACTTCTGGGTTTCCAGAAGGCTAGCCAAAGCTCACAGTGTCATACAGATACTATGCAATTTGATTTAGCATGTACAGTGTCTGATTAAGACAACAAGGAAACCACATCAGCTTTGAACATCAGTTTCAAAACCTTTAAGACAAGCCCTGTATGACCTAGTAACAACTGCAGTTTGTAGTACTTAATAGCTCCGTCACTAACAACTGCTTATTTTATAGGGGTCTTGCTGTAGACAAGTATCAGGAAGTCAAGGTTAGCTGTCCATTTATTCATTTAATTGTGCATCATCAGTGCAACATTGAGACCAAAACCGCAAGAAAGCAATAAAACAGAGACAAGCAGCAGTAATACGTGGTATACCCTGGACTCAGGGTTTTCAGATTCAGTCAAAATTAAGAATTCATCATATGATTAGCAGTACACTATTATGACTGGGATAAAAAAAAAAAAAAACCAAAAACACAACACCAACAAAAAACCCCACCACAACAAAAACAACCATATCCCCATAAGGAGAATCAGGCATGTGGATTTCTCTGAAGAAGGGCCAACAGGTTCTCCAGTTCACTCATGGAATTCCATATTATGGAATGCCAGCATTTTAAGTACTGGATCAACTAGTTTCTATTAACCTTCAACTCCCCTGTGACTTCTCAGCCTGGGAATTTGTAATTATCCTTCTCTCTGTTTCTGAGCAAAAAGAATTTCAGGAACCCTTCCCTTTTTAGGCACATGCATTTCTACTGTCCAAGGCAGAAAAAAATATTATAAATAGCATTATTCATAAACAGTCAAGCCAATATTTTAATGACCTAAAACTTAGCATGATCATAAAATGAAATAAGCTTCAACAAGGAAAACATTCCTTATTTCCAAATTAAGAAATATTAATCCAGCAAGAATTAATCCCGAAACAAGTAAACAAGCCCTGACAACAAAGACAAGTCTAGTTCTAGCACTGTATTACTTGACCCAAAGATGTGAATCAATCAAATGGCTTGTTTCTTTTAATATGCTTTTCCTTTACTTAAGAAAACTGTAAGCCTTTAAGACTGTTCTGAATTATGATGGCTGAACCCCAAAGACTTCCTGAAGTCCCTTTCTTTGAACACTTATTTTCCTCCTTAAAGGCCAATTTAATCATTAGCTGCTGTACGCTTCCCCTCCTTTGCATTCCTCTGCTGTCACGTGCTTGCTAGCAAAGTAGGTAAAAGGGCACAGGCCAGAGGAGCATGCGTTACTTCTAAACTTGACTTGCCAACGTTAGTAATGCAGCACCCACATCAATCAGCTAACACTGAAACAACAACTTCTTCAGGCATTTTGGTCAGCAAAATATTTCTGTACAGCATATACCAACTAACCTCATTCCCAACAGAGCACCATAAACAAGAGCTTTTGCCTGTCTTAGCACTTTGGCCAAATCTTACTTAAAGGGGGGTGAAAAAAAAAAAAAAAAAGCAGCTCACAATAATTTCTAAAAGTAATCTGAAATGGCTATTTTCATTCCTTACATTCGTCGTATGAGAAAACACTGAATCTTAAAAAGCACACTTGCCCCTTAAGACTTGGTTTCCTTTTTTTTTTTCCTTTTAATTAAAGAAGAAAGCTGCCTATTCCTTGCTCTTTTCTGGTTTTACTTCAGTTCAAGCATGCTGTAACAACTGCAGATGTTTCTCCTCCTTCCTTTTCATACCTCTGCTTGAGCCAATCAAAACTTACCACAATTTTTTCCACTGTTATAAACAAGTACTGCTAGGTTGGATGTCACTTTTAAATCAAGAAAACACACAGCACACCAGAAGGCCTAAGCCCCGATAGACCTGATGGTCTGAAATACCACGCCGCTTAACGTCTACCACGCCGCTTAACGTCTACCATGCATCAAGCCTCCTCAGATTGCAATTTTTGTAGTTTCAGGATATTTCACACTACCAAGACTGAGGTTTAACTCGCAGACTTGCAGATTTCAGGCTACAAACACTGAACATTGAACTCTGTATTAGGGCTTACATGTTCCTACAGCCACAGAAGGAGATGAGGGCCTGAGCTCTGGAAAATCTGAAGCTAAAAGAGATGCCCTGTGCAGGGTGCTTCCATTTAGTCAGGCATACAAGAAGTCACTTGTGGCTGGTAATGCCTCTCTGAAGCACATAACACAGAACACAATGTTTAAAAGATAGTGAAGGAATTACTATGGGCATTTTATAAAATCGCCAAGCCATGATACGAAAGTTCAATGTATTACATAGAGTACCTTGCACAAAACAAGGTATTAATTCCTGAAGCAGTTACTTTTGGAAATGCTATTGAGCATGAACCTTTCTATGTTTCTATAGATGTCAAAAGCTTTATATGGATAAAATGATAGTGCTAAAAAAAGGTAAAGTCACCACCTCTACCTCACAAAAAGCAACTCCTCTGCTTTAAGGGGATATCCATATCACATCTTCTCTCAGAACTCAGCCACTTGCTTCCCATACATTGCTTGGCTCACACAGCCCATTTTTTCCCCCCCCATTTCCTATCCCTCTTGGAAGAGAGAAAACTCTGCCATTTCTCCCTGGCAGGAGTCCAAACATCCACTGAAGAGAGGTATATTATTTAAATATAGTTTTCGCATCTATAGCTCCTTTTCCTGCAAAGGAAGCAAGTTAACAATGCAGAGCGAAGTCTTACGTGACCCAGAATAGCTAAAACCTTGGTGAAAGACTTATTCCTATGACTCTCACTTGCAAAGCTACCTCAACAATTTGTTTGAGGCTCTCCTCTCAGATTTTTTACATCTATTTATAGATTAGCTTTTATATGCAGGGCATACACCTGTCAGTAACCAAACTAAGCCCACAAAACAATTCTCTCCGGTTATTCTACTTTGACTATCAAAGGTTGACAGTTTTCTTGGAAAATCAGTGACTGATGCATACAGTTTCTCTGAGAACACTGCTACATACCACCCCACGCAGGTTTCATACTGTCAGAGCCCTCAAATAGACATAGAATCGCCTAGGTTGGAAAAGACCTTAAGATCATCAAGTCCAACTGTTAACCTAGCCCTGCCATCCCACCACTAAACCTTTCTGGGAAGAAATTTTTCCTCATGTCCAACCTAAACCCGCGCTGGTGCAACTTCAGACCATTTCCCCTTGTCCCATCGCCCATTATCAGAGAGAAGAGGCCGACCCCCACCTCGCTACAGCCTCCCCTCAGGCAGTTGTAGAGGGCGATGAGGGCTCCCCTCAGCCTCCTCTTCTCCAGGCTGAACACCCCCAGCTCCCTCAGCCGCTCCTCGTAAGCCTTGTGCTCCAGACCCCTCACCAACCACAGGCTGTTCATAGATGGTGGGCAAACTTGCAGCGTTACATGTCCCCATGCTAAGAGCTAGAATGTGCTGCATCTTGAAGTATGATGGCGGTTCTGAATTCAGAAGCACCTGGAAGCCCTCATTAACTTCACGCAGATGCAAGGTACCATCAATAAAGCCATGAGAAACATCTTATCACATCAGTAGTATCTTCTGACTCCTGCCAAGTTCCTACTAGCAAGCTTAAAAGTAAAAAGAAAAAAAGAAAAACAAAATCCCAACAGAAAACCACAAAACACCCTGACCTTGAAGAATTCATTGATCCTTTATTAAAATAAACTTACAACTTCAAAACTTAGCTTAGTGCTCAGGTTTCAAATAGGAATAGAGACTGGTAAGGAGAAAAGAGGATACTAAATGGATACTGGAAAGGATACTAAATCATTACCAATTACATTGTTTAAGGAGGTTTTCCAGATGGGAAGTGGAGAGAGATTTTAGTTGAAAGTACATTAAACCCAATTTTAGTTAGGAAACATACTTAGAACTATATTAAGATTTCCATTTAAAGCTAGACACCTTGAACTTGGAAGGTCTTGGGAAACCAAGCAAGCGTCCCAATGTTTTCATCCCCAAAACAGTTTATTTCAAAGAGAAAGGGTGGGGGGAATCCTTTTTTATCAACATGCAAAGCAGTAAGAGTTACTGTTTCTATGGATGCTTGTAACATTCAGAACATGAAAAAAATTCTGGAGTTCTCACAAGTTCTCTTAAAAGACTTCAACTCTGAAACTTGCTTAAATATTGAAAACATTGAAGAAGTTTTACCCAGTATTTTATTGTCCATATATCAGATCTGGTCATTAACACATTCTGACACAGGACAGTTCACTGAATTCCAAGAGTCTGAGGACAGACTTAATGAAATTAGAGACAGTTCTAAAACACTGGAACACCTGCACTGTGTTTGTGCTGAGACAGTGATCAAGCATTTCCTCTCACCTGTTTAAGCTATATTTCTACAGAAATTTACATTTTCTACTCTCCTAGAAAGCCAAAACTATGAATGCATTTTGTTTTATCCAAATCAATTAATAATTGTTTATGCTCAAATCTGTTGATTTCGTACCAGGTACTAAACTGAGAGAACAAGAGAACACCGAGATGTCCATCCAAATCTCTTCGTGCATTATTCAAAATTTCTCTTCAGATTTCTGTTACTGATGCTCCTGTCAGTCCAAGCCTTCAGTACCACCTACACAAAGTAATTCAGACTACCCTATAGCAACTGACTTTGCCTAGATAGTATGCTTGCAATACAATGACATGTACTGAAGCACAACAAAGCCAGTGCCAACATCCTAAAATAACTTGCTAGCATGTTAGTTTACTTCCACGCTTTGCCATTAGCTACAATCTAATGGCAACATTGATACAGCCATCCCAGATGTGGATAATTAAGGTTGCTTGAGTTTTTTGTTGAAAAAAAAGACTAGTGCAAACAATGTTCCCCAAACCAGACACTGTATCAAACTTTGCATCAAGCAGCAGGATCACTTCTTACACAAATGTAAAGGGTTAGAGTCTTCCAAAAAAAATTGTGTATGTGTAGCTGTCTTTGTTACATTCATCAAGTATGTCTTCACCTGTCAGAATTCTGCTGAGGTTCTGAAGTCTATCAATTTGACACCCTTCAAGATGTTTGATGGAGAAGTAGTAGCTGTCAAACCTATTTAAAAGGTTGAAGACAGAAAAAAAATACAAAAAAAAAAACCAAAACCACCAAACTGCAGATGGATTTGTAAGTACAGGGATTGAAACTGGGAGCAGTGGCTGATAGACCAGAGGATTTCACTGCCATCCAGATGGACCTTGACAGGCTGGAGAAAGAGGCAGGCTGAAACCTTATTAAACTCAACAAAGAGAAGTGCAAAATCCTGCACCTAGGGAGGAGTAATCCCATACACTGGTATGCGCTGGAGACTGACTGGAAAGCAACTCTGCAGCAAGCTGTGCACAAGCCAACAAGATGTCCTTGCAACAGAAGCAGCTAACAGAATCCTGGGGTACATTAGGAAGAGTGTTGCCACCAGGCTGAGGGAGGTGAGACTTCCCCCTTCTTTCTACTCAGCACTGTTGAGGCCCGGTCTCAAATACTGCGTCCTATTCTGGGCTCCCCAGTAAGAGAGAAATTAAACTACTGGAGAGACTCCAGTGAAGAGCCACTAAGAGGATTAAGGGCTTGAAGCACCAGTCCTATTTTTCTATACAGTTTTAACTGTATACCTAGCAAAGATGCTTTATGAAATTTAATGTAGGAGTTTTTATAATGGATCTGCTTCAAAAAATAAACTTACTTTAGAACACTAAGGGCTGAACAAGAAATCCCATGCTTCAATTGCTTTAGATGAACAGCACACCTTGGAAGTCAAATTGGTTGTATCAGTCAAGCATTCAAAAAGAGCAAGTTTTCTGCGACTGACAATAATGTACTATTAGTTCAGAAGATAAAAGCAGCCTGATTTTGGAGTAGAATTTTTACAAAGCTTTCGCATGAACTTTTCAGACAACAATTCATCTGAATTTTTCAACGTTATTCCAGTAACTTTGCCCTCACCAAAAGACACCAGTGTGTCTTACACAAGGTTTTCAAACTTATGTTGGTATTTTAAACACACTACATTTTCCAATGAGAGTCTGCTAGTCTTCAGGCAGTAGGTAGATTTCCAGAGCTGACCTTAAGTGCCATGTATACTCCAGTGATACAGTGGGAAACAGTAAAAACTCCTAATAAAAAATAAGCCCTTAGAATTTAACGTTACAGGTATATACCTACATAGAGAAAATGCTGACTGTTCCTATCTAATTAAGAAAGCCTGTGTTATCAATAATAAAACCAATGTAACTTCAGTGAAGTGTTTTCATGGAGTTTGCTATAAATTGCAATAGTTCAGACACTAAATTATATTCTGTACAGCAGCATCCAGCACTGACTCGGTAACTCAAAGTCCCATTCGTTCTTACGTGAGTGACTGCCTCCCCACCACTATCTGATATAAATACCAAAATTCTGCCCTACTGCTAGAGGGTCAATTAAGTAAGGCAGCTAATCAGAGAAGGCCAAAAACGCTTTTACTCATGTTCGTCTGGTGCTCCTTTGATGCACAGTCGAACGAAGTTAAAACTAAAGCTAAAGAAAAAGGATTCAGTTTAACAGAAATCCAAACAAAGATCTAAGTGGTCTAGAGTTTTATGCCTTTCAAAAGAAATTCAAGTTTTGATTTATAAAATCTCCAGTAAATAGTATAAAATATACAGCTCACACATTTAAACATATGACCAAAAAGACTGTCTGGTCTCTCTTGTATCTGTTTCTTCGACATTCTACTTGCTAATGCCACCTTCTTGCAGTGTATACTACACTTCTGCAAAAAGGTAACAAGACATCAAAGCCTCAGAAAGAGTAGAGAGCATGTTCATAGTTCACGTGATATTCTGCAAGGCACCGACTTCTGAATTTACTAACTATGAAGATTAACCAAACACTGTTACTCGCTTGAGAATTTCTATTTCTAAATAGCTTCCTTGCATACTAACCTTCAATAATATCTAATCATGCTTCAGCATATAAAAAGACACTGATACTTGCTGCTAGACTCTTACCAATAACTCACCTACCTAACAATGATTAATTGTTTTTTATGCATCAGTTCTCTCTCATAGGGTCCCCAAAGTAAAATTACTACGCCATGACTGAAGTGGCTTAAGTTACTTGGAAAGAGAAGCAGCCTCTCCTCCAACAGCCATCATCTGACATGTAAATTTCAAGTCTTCATCTTTGGTTATTGCTAATCACTGGCTCCAATCCTTCCCACCCTCACCTACAGCTGACAGCTGTGGTCCCTTGGAATTGCAGATGTTTTAAAGGATATCTCACATCTAAAAAGTGACCAAATGCTGCGGTTCAAGCCAAGGTGGAGAACTGAATACATGTATTTGCCCAGGTACAGCAACACCTGCTGCAAACCTCACCCACAGCAGACAGTTTGAAATCAGAACAGCTAAGGAGTTTGCAATAACTTGCTGTCCCACTGACAAACATATCAGCTTGTGTCCTGTCCTCAGCAGTTTTCCAAGATCACCTGTAGATTAATATTAGCTACCCTCTGCAGGCATCTCCTTTGAAATCTTGTGCCAATGTCTGTATTCCCTTCCCAAGTGGTGAAGTGGAGCAATGGGCATATATGGAAGGGAAGAGATAATGACAAACAGACCAATAAATGAAACGTAAGCATACCTGAACAGCTGTCCTCTTCAAAAGCAGACTTGAGATCTATTTGTCACACAGAAATCTTCTATCCTGCAAGCTCACTGCAGCTGGGATCTTGAATAGGTTAGGACACACTGAGAGGCAGATTCATTCCAATGCTGTTAGGTCCTAATAGACATTACACTACAGCAATGGCAAGCAGTCAGTTGTAGCTCTGAAACAGAAAGTCAAGAAAAACAGTTTGAGCTTTGATTCACACACAGCTTTCAACCACTCAGAGGGATGGGATCAGACTGGAACAATTTTAGAAAAACTGATGGCAATGGAGAGAATAGTCACAAACAGCAGTTCAAAAACACCGTTTTCCATTACACTGGATGAATGTATTATCTGGATCGATCTCTCTTCATTTAACAGAGATGGTGAGGAACTGTGGAGTCAAAGTTAGTTCATCTCCTACCCACTCTGTCATTTCTAAGGGCTCAAACTAGTGACCGCTAGCTAGTGCCATAAGCAAGGTGATCTCAGAGGCTATAGACTCCAACACTAGTTTTAGCTTTCAGTTTAAGACATTCAAGTGTTTGCCTGCAGGCTTTAAACTCCCATTACAGTCAACACAGATGGCATCAAGATTTCTTGGAGGGATGTTCACAGAACAGACTGTTTTCATTGGCACTTCCAGGAGAAAAGTTGTCTTCTCACCTGATCAAACTGGAGATAGTCAGACAAAGAAGTAGAGGAGACTGGCTATAGCAGACAATGTGCTAATTACTAGGCTAACACTATGGAATATTAATCCCTACAGTTTCTGGATCATATGGCCTCTCTCCTCTTCCCAAATAGCATGCTCCTGTAAAAGATGATTCCAAAATGTACACTTCAAAAAAAAAAAAAAAAACCCAAAAACAAAACACACAAAAAAAACCCCACAACCTACCAAAACCCAACACTCCCTGCCCCCAAAACCAACCACCACACACCAAAACACTGGCATGCTCCACAACTGTAATCAAAACAGAAACTCTTACAACTGTCAGGTTATTTATGTTTATATTTACTCCTATACAGAGTAGGACACCCTATACTGTTCCTAGATCGTTTAGACTATTCTAGTCTCTATTGCAATACGTGTTTTATTGTACAGATCCTCTGACCTTCTAGAAATTCAGAACAACCTTACTAAGTGAGAAATGAGCATATAAAACTAAACCACTGCACAGTTATCATACCATGCAGAACCTTCCCTCACCCCCCAAAACCTAGGCTTTAGGATGTATTATTTTTTTTTAAACACTGCTATAAAAGACATACCTAGGCATTTAGATTATAGAATTGTATCCCTTCTCTCTCCCTTTGCAGTAACGAGCTTCTAACATGCAGTAAAGAATAACTATTATCTTTTCTATTACAAATATCTCTGGAATGGCAGGACTTTTATAAGACATGCAAGATGTCACATTTTAGGACTCTGGAAATCCTGGAAGATGGAGAACAATGTTTGGTGACCAAAGGCAAACTGAATGGATTGCTCTTGCAATTGCTGAAAGACCTGGAGAAGGTTGAAAGGCTGAAGCACCAGTTCCAAACATTTTCCAAATATTTAAATTGACCATTCAAATTAAAGTTAAGCCAGACTTGGAAAAAGAGGGACGCTTTTCAGTCATTTAGGTCTTGTTTTTCTGAACATGCGGAGTTCAGAACTATGATACAGCATGCTGCAGGACAAAGACAATAAAAAACAAAAAAAAACACACACAAAAAAAAAAAAAAAAACAAAAAAACAAAAACACACCCCAAACCAACCCACGCAGTTTTGGGTTTTGTTTTATTTTTTAAATACAAGCATTCACTTATAAGTCACCTATCACCCAAGACTTTCCAAAACCAGTCATGCTGGGGACTCAACACTGCGACTGTCCCGTCCTCC